GGGAATCGACCATGGAGGGCTTCTACATCAACACCATAGCCCCTCCGATGAGTTGTGAGTAGTTTACCACAGACCTTCGGGTCCATATTTATTATCTAGATGGATTCTTATCTCTTTTTGGATCTCAATACCATGTTCTCCTCGATCTTCTTGGAGGATCTATTCGATGTAACTCTTTTTGCAGTGTGTTTGTCGAGATCCGAAAATTGTGGGTTTATGATCAAGTTTATCTATGAGAAATATTTGAATCTCCTCTGAATTCTTTTATGTATGATTGAGTTATCTTTGCAAGTCTCTTCGAATTATCAGTTTGGTTTGGCCCACTAGATTGATCTTTCTTGCAATAGAGAAGTGCTTAGCTTTGGGTTCAATCTTGCGGTGTCCTTTCCCAGTGACAGCAGGGGCGGCAAGGCACGTATTCTATTGTTGCCATCGAGGATAAAATGATGGGGTTTATATCATATTGCATGAGTTTATCCCTCTACATCATGTCATCTTTCTTAATGCGTTACTCTGTTCTTATGAACTTAATACTCTAGATGCATGCTGGATAGCGGTCGATGTGTGGAGTAATAGTAGTAGATGCAGGCAGGAGTCGGTCTACTTATCACTTACGTGATGCCTATATACATAATCATACCTAAATAATCTCATAATTATTCGCTTTTCTATCAATTGCTCGACAGTAATTTGTTCACCCACCGTAATACTTATGCTGTCTTGAGAGAAGCCACTAGTGAAACCTATGGCCCCCGGGTCTATCTTTTATCATATAAGCTTTCAATCTACTTTTATTTGCATCTTTACTTTTCCGATCTATATTATAAAATACCAAAAATATAGTTATATTATCATACTATCTCTATCAGAGCTCACTTTCGCAAGTGGCCGTGAAGGGATTGACCTTTATTGCGTTGGTTGCGAGTTCTTTGTTTGTTTGTGTAGGTGCGTGGGACTTTTGAGGAGCCTCCTACTAGATTGATACCTTTGTTCTCAAAAACTGAGGGGAATATTTATGCTACTATTGCTGCATCAGCCTTTCCTCTTCAAGGAAAACCAACGCAGGCTCAAGACGTAGCAATTAGTCCAAAAAATGATATAAAATTGTAAAGTAAAGCCCATAAACATCCAAAACAAGTAATATAATAGCATGGAACAATCAAAAATTATAGATACGTTGGAGACGTATCAGGTGTTACAAGGAAGGGGGTGGTGGGGGGACGTGTGTATTAGTACGTTTTTCTGTATGTACACTGTGTCTCCCGTAGACACGTAGAGGACTCCTACGCTACGAGTGGGTGGCCTACGTCAGGTCAGACTGCAGGTGGATGAAAGTCAATAATTTTTTCTCCGAAAAATCAGGAGACCCCACGTGAGGCAACTATAGGGTTTAAAGGGTGGACTTTGTGGCGGCGCCCATCGATCTCATCGGTGGGGCAACAGGGAGACTGACCAGTGGATGGCGACATCCTCTGGTCGAGGCACAAAACACGGACCTTTGTCGCCTAGGGCAAAATTAGCGAAGGCTTTAGGAAAACCAAAGATATCCGAGGAGGAGGCCACGCCGTTGGTTCTAAATGATCGCGAAGAGGAAGCACATGAGAAGTGGATGCTGGCTGAAAAAGTACTTCATCGCCATACCTTCCACATCCAAACGATCTCGAGTGCCCTTCGTCCTACATGGAGTAATTGCGCGATAACACGTCCGTTGTTGAATTCACTTCTCAGAGAGGCTGAGATCGCATGTGGGAGGAGTCCCCATGGCATGCGAGAAAAAATGCAGTGATTCTCTCTGAATTTGATGATTGCATGAGGCCTTTGGAGTTATGATTTGACAAGCTAGGCTGATCTCTTGGAGAAAGTATGAAAGTTTTCATGCACAGAAATTGGTGCAAGACGTGGTGGCGGCTAGCGAGGCCAATCGGGTGTTGGTCTGGACGCGAGCCACGAAGTTGAAAGCCAGAGAAATGACCAGATTGACGGAAGTGAGCCAGGTTAGAGAGGAGGCCGGCTCCATTCCTGCGTCCGGTCGTGCATGCCAAGGTGTGTCGCGTGGTCGTGATCGTGGAAGAGGTGGCCGGAAATCGAATGAAAATGGGGCCGGAACCCAGATTCCCTGATCAAAGAGAGGGATTATATGGAACGTTAGAGGGTTTGGGCAGCTGGATCGTAGAAATTAGTTGCAGGGATTTATGCACAAGGAAAAACCTGATTTCTTGGCATTACAAGAAACAATCAAAGGATCGTTTTCTAATAGGGTACTTGAAGCGTTGGGAGAGAACACGGAATTTAAATTGGAGTGGGTGCCAGCCCATGTACATCCAGGGGGGATATTACTAGGTGTCAACAATCT